AAATTACATGGAAGTTAAAGAATTTATCTTAAAATACAGGCAGCAAGAATTAGATTCCAACAGTGGTACTGATCAGAGCACAATTCCAACAAATCTATTTTGGTCTGTGAGTGACGAAGTGCTTCCAGTTACAACTGAAATCTGCCTGATGCTTCGCGACATTGCTGTTATTCTCACATTTCTGTTTTTAACGATATCTTCTATAATTTTCTTCAGAAATGAGTACGAAATTTCGACGCTTGTGTCTACCATTGCTGTGTTTATAAGTGGCGCGATTCCCAGCCTCTTTCTTAAAGGACTGACTAGAGGGAAGAATTTTAGTGGCTGGAGAAGGGTCCTACTAGAAAGGAAAATTAAAGCGGCAGTCAGAAAGTACGCGCGAGAAGGTAGCCGAGTAGGTATAAACAGAGAAACCGTAGAGAGAAGTTCGTTCCAAAATGACAGTTACATAGTTGTATAAAATAATGCATCACAAGCAGGCAGCCCAAGGTCGTGTTACTAGAGGCCTCTAGTAACAGGACCTTGGGCGAGGAAAGCCAGTCCGGTTGCGTTAAAATTGAAGGCAAGGCTAATCGGACAGCTAAGGGGTTACAAATTTCAGCTGAAATTTACTTGGCCAGTTGCGTTAGCCGGATCCTACAGTTTCTGAAAATGAACTGAGAGGTGACGTCTTCACAAAGTGACCTCTGAAATAGTATGTTAAATCCTGTCCTTGTTCGCTTTGAGACTTTTAATTAATGCCGCTATCGTCACCGGCAGTGACGGCCCGTGCAGATATGGCTTACGAGAAGTCCATCGTAAGAAGGAACACAATCTTATAAATTTTAAAAGTTGAGAGCATGGGTAGCCTGTGGTGCCAGGATACATTTATTTACGATTAGCGTAGTTTGTTAGAAAAACTGCGAAAGTCAGAGCATAGTTTTGAAACCTTTTAGACTTCTTTTTATGATTAAGTATCATACATTTATTCACATATGTAGTTAAAATGTGAATTTGAACGTTTTACAATCATCTCAATCTGTAATTAATGACCAATAATCTTATCATCTTGGTTTTTGCGGATATCGTAAAAAAATATGTTGCAATAATTGTTAAAATTAACCTTAAATCATTGTAATGATACGTGTCCCAGGCCATTTTATAGAGATGGAACTGCCGGGTAATGCGTTCCTTGTAAAACCTACAAATAAATAACCTTTTCTCCCTTACTTTACCTTTCCCTTTACTTTTTAGCAGCCTTATTAACTTTAACGTGTTTGGTAGCAGTTTTGTTTTTAAGGCCAACGGATTTATTCCTCAACCAGGATTTTAAGTGTTGGCAATGTAAATTCGCCAAATGCCTTTTCTCTTTACCTATTACAGCAGAGAACAAAGATTCACGATGTAAATTCGCCAAATGCCTTTTCTCTTTACCTATTACAGCAAGCTACAGCAGAAAACAAAGATTCTGTTAGTATTTGAGATAGAATGCTCCATCACTTAAATATTATCCAGAAAGTGGCATACTTGCTGATTTTTAGATTTCTTAGCCAATATAAGAGCGGTCTACAGAAATTAGGAAGCATTTCTACCTGTTACTTAAAGGTGAATCATAACGGATCACGAATAAGACGCGCGCTTTTTACGTTGTGGATTCTATTTTCTAGTTTGGTCACGCTGTTTCTTGCGAGTCTTGTTTGGGTAGTAATCGCTTCGTTTTTCTTTTCTGTTTCATTACTATTTAATCTATTTATATTTTCACCACTTTTTACTCTGTTGGTGATCAGCATCATAAATATTTTATTCAAGATCGACAAACTCATTGCTGACATTACCAGCATACTGTCAAAATCATTTTTATATGGGCTTTTTACTCTTTTTGCTGCAGTATACTTAATCTTGATTCAAATTACAGTCTTTATTCCAGTATTAATGCTGTGTTCCTTTTTCGTCGGAATATTAGGATTCACAATCATGGGATTAGTTCTAAACGCTGAAAATGTAACTCCTTATGCAGCTTTCTTTGTCGTTGTCGTAACAAATATTTACTTCTGCTACGCTAATTGCAGAAGAGTTACATGGAAGTCAAAAGATTTATCTTAAAATATTGGCAACAGGAAATGCAAGCAACCATTAACAGCGAACATAGCACAATTCCAGCCAAGCTGTTTTGGTTCGTAAGTGATAAAGTGTTTCCTGTTAAAACTAAAATCTACCTAATGCTTGGTGAGGTGGCTGTTATTGTCACGTTTCTGTTTTTGACGATATCTTCAATCATTTTCTTCAAAAATGAGTATGAAATTTCGACGCTTGTTTCCACCATTGCCGGTTTTTTCAGTGGGGCCATTCCCAGCGTATTTTTTAAGGGGCTAACAAAAGGCAAGAGGTTTACTGGCTGGAGGAAGATCAAACTGAAGAAGAAAATTGAGGCGGTAGTGACAGAGTACGTTCAAGAAACTAGCTCTGGTTGTGTAAAAAGAGAAAGCGAAGAGGGAAGTTCGCTTCAAGTTGATAATTATGTAGTTGTATAAAATCACAGGCAGCTAAATGTGACAGTTATGAAAAAAGAAAGCCATTCAGTTGCGCAAGTCGGATAAAGCAATTCCTCATGATAAAAATACTTTGGGGTTACATTTATAGTTTCTTTAAGGCTGAGATTCTTGTTAAAGAATTATTATTAAGGGATGCGTATTAATGAAAGTAAGTTTGGTTTAAAAACTGAACATCAAAACCGTGAGTAGAAAACAAAGAATTCAGTGGCCGGATCTCTAAAACAGATCTGGATCAATAGAAATTAGGAATTGACGGTGAAAATGATGATACAATTATATAGGATATAGATATTTTGATGTTTGGTCTCACTTTGTTTTGATCTTTAAATCTTGGCCTTGGATTAGTTTCCAACGAAAGCTTGGTCTACCTGCGATTTTCATAAAATTTCTGTTGCGGTATGCTATCGGTAGAAGCCCTTATCGGTAAAGAAGAAAGTAACCGATCATATCATAATATCAAAACTGGCTAGCCAAGCACCAAGGTGCTAGAGATGCATAAGAGAGTATTTAAAAAGTCTCGTCTCAATATCAGTGCTGTAATTTTTAATTTTTGTTACGTAATTTTCTGTAATTGTTTTTTAAACGTTTAGGAATTATGCCTATTAACAGTGTTAGCTGTTTTAGCTAAAAGAAGATATAATAACTTCCTTAACTCAGTTTTGTTTTAAAATTTTCAGATTGATTGTTTAATTAAATATNATAATATCAAAACTGGCTAGCCAAGCACCAAGGTGCTAGAGATGCATAAGAGAGTATTTAAAAAGTCTCGTCTCAATATCAGTGCTGTAATTTTTAATTTTTGTTACGTAATTTTCTGTAATTGTTTTTTAAACGTTTAGGAATTATGCCTATTAACAGTGTTAGCTGTTTTAGCTAAAAGAAGATATAATAACTTCCTTAACTCAGTTTTGTTTTTAAATTTCCAGATTGATTGTTTAATTAAATATCAATAGTTATTAAGTCAGCTTTGTTACGTGTATAAAATACTATTCAGTTCTAAACTGATCTGTAATGAGAGGACATAAAAATTGTTGTTGGAGTAGCTAAAAGGCATTAACTTTGAAGACGTGCGTCCAATAGAGAAGAATAGAAGGCAGATTTCCCCAAATAAACTCACTTTGGAAAAAAGCGATAGCCTACTAGTATGACCAAGTATGGGAGGACCCTGGATGTATTACTATTTACAACCCTTAGAGAAAAGGATTTACATCCCCTGGATTTAAGATTCTACAACCCCAGGACGTAAGGATTTTTTTTCGCTTCTCTTCCGTCGAGCGTGTCTGACACTCCTCGCCAGTTCGCGCCCACCTCGGGCTTGCCCCCGCTCGCCTGATAAAAGACCTTGAACTACACCTGTTCTGCAGGCTATGCACTGTAGCTTTTATTGTCTACAAACAGTTTATTCACGCTTTTTCTTGAACTTGTTTGAACAGTTATTTGTTTGTGTCTTTATTTAGTTTCTGGGTTTTTCTTTTGTTTTCAAATTGTCACCGTTCAAAACGTCTAGTCGTTAGCATCAGCATGAAAATTGTATCCAACAACAGTCGAGTAAGCGATAGTATAAGCTGCATGTTGTATATATGCGTTATTGAAAAAAAAGGCTAGGAGAACCTGGGGATTCGAAAGGGCCGCGAAACCCATCCCTAGGCTACTACATAACCGTACCCATCCAGGTTCTACTTGAAAGGGTTTGTAATTAAGTCCATAGTTTCTTGGGCTAGGTGGTCTAAGCATAAGCATCCAGGGCTTGTTGAACAATACTTCAACGGCGTAAATCCTAAGGTTATACAGTCCAAGGTGTTGAATACAGTGTCGAGAATTGATTCCATGAAATCTCTTAAATCCAGGAGAGGTAGTTACTTTACTAATTGATCGGCCGTAAAACACCCAACTTATAGAATTCTAACTTGCGGGGTTAAATCCAGTGGTACTAAAACCAGGGCTTGTAAAATTCTTATATCCTGGGGTCTTACATCCAGGGTAAAAAATAGTCTTACAACCACAGGTCTTAGGTCCAGGCGCTGTAAAATTCTTATATCCTGGGGTCGCCTAGATCCAGGGGTCTTACATCTAGGGGTACAAAATAGTCTTACAGCCAGGGTCTTACATCCAGGGGTAAAAATAGTCTTACAACCAGGGGTCTTAGATCTAGGGGCTGTAAAATTCTTATATCCAGGGGTCTTACATCCGGGGGTAACAATAGTCTCACCCTTACAGCGAGGGGTCTTAGATCCAGGGGCGGTAAAATTCTTATATCCTGGGGTCCTAGATCCAGGGCTCTTACATCCGGGGCTACAAAATAGTCTTACAACCAGGGTTCTTCGATCCAGGAGCTGTAAAATTCTTATATCCTGGGGTCTTACATCCAGGGGTAAAAAATAGTCTTACAACAAGGGGTCTTAGATCCAGGGACTGTAAAATTCTTGTATCTAGGGGTCTTAGAACCAGGATTTGAAACATCCCGGGTTTGAAAAGTCTTACATACAGGGGTCTTTACATCCTGAGGTTGTAAATCCCTACATCTAGTGGCTGTAAAATCCTTAGATCCAGGGGTGTTAAAAGTGGCTATTTAAGAGAGGTGATTTATATAAGGGGTTATTCTTATATCCTTGGCTCATTTTTCGCTACGGGGGTTTGCCCAGTTGTTGATAATGATCCAAAGCTCTTACAGCAAGAGGTCTTCCGACCAGGAGTCTTACATCCAGGACGTAGATCCAGGGATCTCACGTCCAGGGGTCTTAGGACCACGGGTCTTACATCCAGGAGTCTTACGTCCAGGGGTCTTAAGATCAGGGTTCGTACATCCAGGGGTCTTACGACCTTTGAAAGGGCTATGTCATTTTTCGAGGAAAACCGAGTCTCGTTTTCGTTTTTTGCCCTACGTTTTAGAGAAAAATAAAGTCTCGTTTTAGGCCCCGTTTTAACGTGTCTCGTTTCTGAAACGAGTTATCGGGACAGGTTGGAACGAGTGTCGATTCTACGTTTTCTATTGGACTGGCGAATACGTAATCGGGAGGCCATTAAATTAGGACGATTTTTATCGAGTACTTTACGATACGTCGCTCAGAAACGGCATACTGACGTTTTACGCTGTACAAAGACAGCGGAGCCGGGGAACTAGGGTGCTTACGCTTTGCTCCGAGATACCTTGCAGCACACGTTGAGTTTTGTAAAATTAGTGTACTTAGCCGCTATGTAGTATCAATATGTATGAATGTTCCAAGTCAAGCGGAAATATTGTTGTTATGACTAAAAATACCTGTTATTTTAGACTAGATCGAGTTTGAAATATTCATGTGGAGACTACTGAGAGTAGCATTTCCAGGTTTCTAGACTTCAACATTTTCTGGGGGAAGCAATTTTTCCCTCGAAATCCCTAGAGGCTCGCGCCTTTGGCGCTCGCAGTATTTCCAGCTGTTAAGAAATATTCGTAACAGTACGAACACCCCTTCTCAAACCCCAGCTACGCCCCTGCATTTCTGCACATCTACAGTATAAGAGCTTATCAAGACACATTCCCACATTTCCACGTTTCCATACTTCCATAGTTTATTGAAAACCAAACTAGTCCCAGTGCTCGCTCGCGTAACAATGCCTTAATTCTGACTAATTGGTAGCGAGATTTCAGGAGTGTGTGCGTTTCTCCCTCGGGAGTGGCTTTCTCTATACAAATAAAAAGGTGCGTAAGCAATTTTGTCCAGTTTTGCTGCAAGGGCGGAAGGATTGGATTAATGCGCCCGTCGAAGCCCCTTGTTTTGCTTTGGGGTTCGTTTGTTTAACGCTCGATCCTCCCCCCCCCCCCCCCCCCCCCC